CAAATCGACGAGTTAAGTCGGGTTTTCCCACTTTCTGGTTTCTGAGTGAACTCGTCGAGTTGATGAGATAACTCGAAGAGTTAGTTAGGGTTTTCCCAATTTTTCTGAACACTAAAGGAACTCAACGAGTTGCTAGATTCACTCGACGAGTTGGGTCAACATGGACTGTTGACCTTGACTGTTGACTGTTGTCTTTGACCATGGTTGACCAAGTTTGACTTTAAGGGTATTTTGGTAAATTGGGATTTAATGGAATTAGTCATATGGTGGTTACAGGCAGTTGAGTTTGGGGCTGTGAGTTGGGATTCGTTTTATCAATTCAGCACTACTTGTGAGGTGAGTTCTTCTCACTATATCAACAAGGTCTAAGGCACCAATATCGGCCCTTTTTGGATTGTATCCTGGTTATAGGATGAGGCTATGTTAGTGATCTGTTAGATCTGTATCCTGGTTATAGGATGATGCTATTTTATTGATCTGTTAGATCGGTATCCTGGTATATAGGATGATGCTATGATTAGTGATTTGTAGATCTGTATGACTTTCTGTACATGCTAGCTAGCGTATGATATATATGTGTTGATTGTGTGATTGTGGGTGGGTTGAGGCGGTCCTGCTTTGTGCTCTAGGCCAACGTACAAACTTAGCGCTGCTAATGATAAGGTTTCGTGTTGCTAACTTTTTAAACCGACATTATCATTATCCCGTAGAGCGTGGTGCATCACCCATAAGGGCGCGATGCGTCTGGCTTCTTTCAGCACTCTTCTGGAATTTTCTTGATTCTGCTTTTTTTTTAGTCTTTTTGCTTCCTTTCGTTCTAGCAACGTATAAATCCTACAATACCATAATATAAAGCATTATGATCACCTTTTGCTCTAATTCTCTTTAAATAATAGCATAAACTAATAATGCAAATATATGCATAAAGTATGCGATATCAGCTAGGATTTTAAGGCATACTCCAAATTTTATCATGTGGTATTTACATGATAATTTATCTCAGGGTCTTATATCATCAACTTTTCAAGATCTTGAAAATTAATGCAATTTTACTTAATCCTTTAATTTGTCATGATTTTTCTATATAGATCCTTAATCGGAGAATTAAATGTCAATCACATATAAGACTAGTAATCCAAATGTGCTCCCACTAGCTTTCTAGAAAACACAAGAGTCATATTTATTTATAAGGAAATCAAACTATGCCATTTTCTTATAAGTTAGAATATTTTTTCTTTAAGATGTTGGATTTAAATCTGAGAAGATTTCCATCGATGTATGATTTCTCCTTTGAAAACTCACTGACTCTTTATAGTCATATTATATTGAGGAAAATTAGTTAACACATACATGAATACATTTTTGTGTGTTCTATTAGTTTCTGATAAACCATTTGAACATATTCAACAACTGTTATTGACTTGCTAGTTCCAAACTATGATGCATTTAGTTTATGGTTCTTTAACCTTTAAAGTTCTATCTTACTCCCACTTAGAAAAAGATATTTCTAAGCATATGACTTTTGGAATGGAAATCAATAGGATCATAGAAAGTTTATCATAAATATCCTTTTAGTAGATTTTAGGTTGAGTTAAGCTACTTGTTTTGAATAAGCTCTATAACTCTATACCCTTTAGATAAGGATAAAACATTTCATTCTTAGTCTTACGAAGGTATTTAATCTACTTGTTTGGTTAAAAATATATAGTCAAAATATATATCTTGCAATGATCATACCTTAAAAAAATTAAAGGAAAGAGTTCTTCAAATCATCATAGAGTAGACCACATCATATAAGGTCTGATTCTCCCTGTTCAAAAATTTGTATCATTGACATTCAACTAGTGGTTAGGTGTCCTTTATACCACTAGAAAATACGAAAACTACCTCAAACATCATCAAACAAAGTCCAAGTGGTTAGGTGATCCATGAGCTACAAAAACTGTACAAATAACAAGTGAGTGTTCTGGGTGGAATGAATCACAACTTTCATTGTCTTTGGTCTAAGGATACTGGTCTCAGAACAAAATTTTCCATTCGAGATAAGGAGCTTTATAATTTAGCCCACATAGGGTCATTCTGAATCATACTTATCCGGATACCATAGTTTCTTCTTTGTCTTCTTTTGCAGAACCGACTAATTCATATAAGTCCTTGATTCATGAGTTCAAACCTATCCCGATCTGATGTCCTGATTATCCTTAGACATGAATCAGTCTCACGACATTCCATATGACACCAGTGTTTTACCACTAAACAACTATGTCATTGACGAAATTGTCCCCGAGACCTCTGGACATGATTCGGATAAATCAATTGAAGTTGTTAATGCATGAAGTGACAGTCAGCAGTTAAAAGGAATTTGGGAAGTACGAAGAGTTGAATTATTGGTATGGCGAAGAATTGTTGAGATGTTGTTGTGCAAAACTATATTGTGTGGAGGTGTGAGGAGCTGTTTATGAAGACCAGAGATAACAGAGACTTAGCAAAGACATGATTTGTATTTTTGTATGTTAGAGGAGTTAGTATTGTAACACCTGGAATCTTGAGGAGCAATTGTAATGAATGAATCCCCTTTTGGGGAATGGAACACAACGTATTGGAGGAAGCAAAACGACGTGTATAAGTTAAGGACAATCGTGGTTTTAATTAAGAACAACACATCGTTTTGGTGTCTAAACACGGTGTGTTGGCAGCCGGGAAGGAAACCCTAATTTGCACCCTATATAATTTCCTTAAGCCCTAAGGGCTGGTCTCTTTACCAGCCTCCACTGCCACTTAAACCCTAATTCGTCCCTCAAGCTTTCTTGGTGGTGTTCTTGAGCCTTGAGTGGATTCTTGTGGTTATTTTGCTCATTTCCAGAGGAAGCTTTGAAGACTGAAGGTGCTTAGCTTGGAAGGAAGATCATAGATCTAGAATCTCTCCACTTCTTGCAATCTCTTTGAGGTATCAAGTTTGCATCTTGGCTTGTGTAAGATTAGATCTCTTCATGGCTAGTTTAATATGATTTTGGTCCCTTTTTGGGTCTTTGGATGAGTTGGGTTGTTTAAGGGCTTGTTCTTTCAGATATTGGTTTGTTTTGGTGTCCTTGAGCATAAACGTGCAAGCTTTATATGAAGAATGGTGTCATGCATGCTTCAAGTCCCCTATTCAGTCCCTTTTTAGCTTATGAGCTTCATTTAGTCATATATGGACGTAAAGTTGGCAACTTTACATGATAATCCAGCTCAAGGAGGTCAGATCTATGTTTTGGGGATATGTCTTTAAGGATTAAGTGCTTATTGGTTAAGCTGTTGAATCTAGAGAAAACACGGAGTGTTTGCAAGCCAACACGCCGTGTTGGCTAGGGATTTCCCGATTATCTAGATGATGGAAGAACACGGCGTGTCCAAGAGGCAACACGGCATGTTGGGTCAACATGGATTGTTGAACTTGACATTGACTTTTGCAGTTGACTAGGGTTGACCATTGGATATTTTGGGTTTGGGCTATCTTTTGGGCTTGGTTGTTTGGAGCATTGTTGGACCATCTGAGAACAAGTTTTTAGGATTAGGGAAAAGTTAATGGGCTTTAGGGTAAGGCCTATGTAAGGGTTTGGGCCCAATTTGGAAAGTTGGGCCATAAGTGAACCTTGGATGATTATTTGGTTGTGGGCCTTTGATTGGGAGTTTGGGCCTTAGTCTTGGACCAAACTAGGTGAGGGGTAAAATGGTCTTTTTACCCCATATATGTGGATGATTGGATTCGGTTTGGAACTCAATTGTAAATTGAGTGTTATTTGTTTGATATCTCGGGGATTGTAGCAGATCAGCAGTCATAAATTTATTTGTGGGTTCAGCTGTCGAGGTGAGTCTCTCACTATTCTATGGGTCGAAGGCACCAATGTCGGCCCTATTGGTTTATGTATTGTAGGAAGATCAGGGGGTGGCCCTTGGTATTTGTATGAAAGACCTGGAGGTAGTTCTCTTCAAATATGTATGCAAGACCAGAGTGTGGACTCTAACAGTTAAATTATTAAGTAGTTGTAGATTGTATGCTAGTTGTCTTTGCGATGCTTGCATGGAAGACCAGGAGGTGGCTCCTGACACTTTTCTGTAAGAACCAGGGTTTTGGCCCCGGCAAGGCAAGGAAGACCATGATACGACTCGTGGCATAATGGCAAGACTATGGTTGGCACATAACATCTCTTATCACATGTTTGCTCTGTATGATTTGTATGGCTCATATGTTATGTATGGTATGTGGTATTTAGGGAACTCACTAAGCTTTGTGCTTACAGTTTGTGGTTTATGGTTTCAGGTATTTCCGGTTCGAAAGGTAAGGGCCCGACTTGATCGCAACGCATACACCCGTGTTTTTCTGCAAATTTGTGATTTTGGGATTTACTTTGATAATTGTTTTACATTGGAATACTTTTAAATGTTTGAATAAAGATAAATGAGTGTTTGAATATATATTAAAAATTAAATTTTTACCCTATGATTTCCGGGATGTTACAAGTATAATGATCAACTTTTTACTGACATTATGTATTTGGTTGGTTATGTCAGTTTAGGCGTGGAAAGCATGGCCGCATATCTTTATCTTAATTTTTGTATTGACCAGTTAAAGACTTGTACTTTTTTCTCCTATAAATAGATGGTCATCTTTATCGATAGAAAGTGTGTCTGGATCTTATGTTCCTTGTAAAATTCACAATATTCAAATATAAGTCTCCTTATCTCCATTATCTTTTTATACTTTGTTGTTCATCAATTACCCACTTGTGTTTGCATGCAAACCTTGTTACAATACAACAAGTATCTTTAACTTGCTAATATTTATTATTGTAATTTGTTGCTATGTTTCCATCTTAAATTTCGCATTATTATTATTGCTCAGCTAACTAAAGATCCATGAGATTAACTTAATATTTAACACTATAATCTCTTAAGCATAAGTTCTTCTCTCAACAATTTTCCATATCGCACAAGAGTGTATTGGAAGACAGTTGCGTTTTTCAAGGACAAGGATTTGTATGTCTTGATCGCCTCCGCGTCAATATTGAAGAAAACAATATTATGGGGACACCATATGTCGTAGGAGGCATTTTGGAGAGTTCAAACTTCCCCAAAAAGTTGTTGTCATGTGTTCTGGTCCTCTCGCCTTCATACATCTGGATCAACACTCCAGGATGGTTGTTAGAGTAGGCTGAGAACACATGTTCCTTTTTTGTTGGGATTGTAGTGTTTTGCGGGATAAGTACAGTCATCACACCTCCAGCAGTCTCCAAACCAAGTGAAAGAGGAGTCACATCTAAAAGAATAAAATCTTGAACCTTCTCATTACCCTCACCAATAAGAATAATAGCTTGAACTGTAGCTCCATAAGCAACAACCTCATTTTGATGCTCTTGCAAAGCTCCTTTCCATTGAAGAAATCATGCAACAACCGTTGAACTTTGGGAATACGGGTCAATCCACCGACCAAAAAAACATCATGGATGGATCTTTTCTCAATTTTAGCATCTCTCAAACACTTCTCAACTGGCTCCATACACTTTCTGAAAAGGTCCATGTTGAGCTCTTTGAATCGAGCTCTGGAAATGGCGGAGTAAAAGTCAACACCTTCGTATATAGAGTCAATTTCGATTGTTGTTTGAGCGATTAAAGATAAACTCCTCTTTTCCCTTTCACTGATCATATTTGTAGATTGGGATCTCACTCTTCAACACCGAAGATTCTTAAGCCTCGGTGCTTAGGAGACTTTTGACTACATCGATTTCATTTCCTAGTTTTAGAGATCACAACTACTTCATAGTTTCATAGACATTTCAACAATTGGTTCTCATTATGAATCATTTTATTACCGCACTTGCTAGTTGGATACTATGTATTTTATCACTGTATTTGTATCCATCATCATTTGCGAGCATTTATGGAGAGATTTTTGGATCATGGAAATGCTCTATAAATTATAAGTGATAGCTAGGTTAGAATATTCCCTTTATGTTCGTAAGATTCCTTTTTTTATCTCTATAAATAGATAGGGAACCTAAGTCATTTAGTGTGTACCAAAATATAGTCTTTCTAGTTAGAGAGAGTGGGATGGGGTCTCTCCTCATCCAAGACAGTTATTTATGGTAATATTTTCTCTCTTTCTCGTAAATTATCGGATTACTCCTCTTATTGTGTTCTTATCATTAAATCTTCAATATCTTATTATTTTACATAAGTCAATCGTCAAAACAGGATGCAACAAATGGTATCAGAGCCACAATGATTTCTTTTTAACTTTTCTAAAAAATTCTCTATAATCTTTTGGAAAAACTCTGATTTAAAAGGCCTTCTATACCACTTAGCTCATCATTTTTTATAACTTTAGGAAAATGGAACATATTTACTCTTTAAATGTATCTAACAGTCTCTGAGGGTTAAATCGAGCTCCAATACTCGTTGCAAGTGAGTATCATCATTGGTCTCAAAGAATGGAGAGATATCTAAGAAGACTTAGTAAGGAAGTATGGAGATCTGTAAAAATAAGGACCACGTGTACGTATCCTTACACCCATTGTCAATGACGGAGATCAAGTTAGACTTGGAGGTGGTCAAGTTGCCATGAACACACCTACCAACACTGATGTAGACAAGATGAAGAAAGATGAAATTGCTTTCTAATAAATTTCTAGCGGGATTCCTCCTGACAGCTTTGATCTTATCATCAACTGCAAATATGCAAAAGAAATTTGGGATGTTCTAAAAAATCTCTATGAAGGAACTGAACAAGATCAAGAAAAGAAGCTAACCACGACCCTTAATGACTTCAATAGTTTCAAAGCTCTTTTCTGGAGAAAGTCTTGATGATTCATTCAAGAGATTTAATCTCATCGTCACCAAAACTCTCAAAGGCAGGTATTACTCGAAGTGATCATGAAACAAAGTTACGGTTCATGAATGGCTTAGGGAAACAGTGGACTATGGTGAACATGATGGCTTAGGGAACCAGTAGATCTATATGATTACCTATACTTGCTAGTTATATGTTTATGTTTATGTGTTGCATATGTCGACATAGTGCGGTTGGGTTGAGGAGGTTCGGTGTTGTGCTGAAGGCCAAGATACCCGGGCGGTCCGAATAGATTGTTGGCCTTGTGAGGCGGTCTAGTAAGGTTGTAGGCCCGCAGAGCGGTCCAGATAGGTTGTAGGTCTTGTGAGACGGTCCAGTCAGGCTGAAGGCTCATATATGCATGTTGTTATATGTTCGGTCGTGTGTGGTATTTTGGGGGAAACTCACTAAGCTTTGGCTTACAATTTGATTTTATGGCTTCAGGTACATTTGAGGGTAGGAGCAAGGCGAAGGCGTGATTGTACACATCATCTTGGGATTTATGATGAGAGATGTTTTTGGAGACTCTGATTTGATAATTATGTTTTTGGATACACTAATTTGATAATTATGCTTTTGGAAACAATGTTTTGTATGGCTTATGGATTCTAAATGGTTTTGAAAAATGAAAACTTGTACTATGATTTTCGGGTTGTAACATTAAGTCATTTCCATTTCTAGCTCTTAATCTGTAAAGACCAATCATCTATTGCTCAGATCTGGTCCTAATAAACGTCTAAAGTGATAAAGTTCCTAACTTTATGCCTTTGCATGGATAAAATAGAGCTCAAATCCAAACTCTCGTTTCCTAACACCTTCTAATGTCCAAAAACTCTTGCATGGGTGAAAGGTAGTAACCAAGATCCTCTTTTTATGACATATCAACCTCATAAACATCAGGAAATAGCAAACCTAAGTTCTATAGTAGCTTATACTCACAAGAACCAAAATCATGGACAATAAGCATGAAAACGAAGTAGCTACCAAGTTCTAACTCAATGAACCATCAAGGTGAAAACTTTATACCTTCTGGAGTTGGCAAATGAAGAGAAGACTATGGATCTACAAGCTTGAGCTTCACCAAGCTTCAAAGATGGGCTTCTCCCCCTTGAAAATGTACCACAAACACACACAAAAGGCTCAAATCTAGCTCAATAGGATTAGGGTTTCGAGTTGGATGTCAAGAGGGTGGAGGCTGATGATAAG